GGTCTGGATTCGTAAATATTATGAAGACGAGCTTCGGCTTCAAAGGGTTAACCAGCTGATTTTCGTAATGGTGAGGTGTAGTGTTTTCTTCGCGGTACGGACTGAATTCATAAATAATATTCAGACGATCTTCGGCTTCAAAGGGTTAAAAAGCAAGGAAATACACGAGGTAATATGCCCCCACCAAGTGAACAGAAATTAGCCAGTCCCTCCAAGGTCTTTCAGGCCATCAGGGGGCCCGAACATGATCCTGAAACATCTACCCAAGCGCGCGATAACCTTCCTCACAAAGTCTTCCGGTACTAGACACCGGAACGGAACCAGATTCACGTGGTAATGAAACCCTACAGGACTAGAAGACATCGCTGGAAACTTGGGTCCTCCTGAATGTAAACGAGGGCGGATTGCTGAGCGACGAGCAGCTTGAGTTTCGACCCAGACAGCACGACACTGCAGCTGCTCAGCCCTGTTGAATGATTCGATTGAAGAGGCTTAAGTCTTCGACGCCGCGTTGGTCAAAGGCCTCCCGTTAGTATTTTTCCCACCCCTGTACAATTTCCATTTCGGAGTTTTCCATTGCAACTTAATCGATCACTCTGTTAAGTCCGAACTTGAAAATGTGACTTAAATTAGCACAGGTACTAATAAAGGCAGCCTTAAGCTGACTTCTCACGCCTTCCTGATAAGGTAACGTCGATCACGAGACATCATAAATAAGTTCATTTAATGCGAGAATCAACACTTTGATCTCCTATCTATAAATCTTACGATAAAATGAAAATCATTTTCATGCACAGAATGTTACACTCATTCCGGAGGGTTTGCAGTTGAATGGGACACATCAACTATTGGCATTTGCTGATGATTAATTTGTTGGGGGACGACGTAAATACAATAAAGAGGAACGCAGAAGTTTTACTAGAGGCTGGTAGACAGGCGGGGCTCGAAGTAAGTACATGTTAGTATCTCGTCGTCAGAAGACAGGCGGGCAAAATTATCTTAGGGTGGCTAATAAGTCCTTTGAAAGGGTTACAAAGTTCAAATATCTGGGAATAATAACTCACGAGGAAGTTAGGAGGAGATTAAATTCCGGAAATGCTTGCTACTTCTCAGTGCAAAATAGGGATTAGCTGTATCGATTGGTTTTACCTGAAGACGGAGATAGACTCCCATCTCTGAAACATCGTGGCTTTTATTGATTTTATTTAGTATTGGACGATGGATAATATCCAGAAAACAGTTTTCTTCATCATAATATTTTGTCTTCCCGTCTGATTTCTAAGAACCTGAAGATTAAAATATACAAAAAAAAGAATTGCCTGTTATTTGTATGGGTGCGAAACATGGTCTCTCACTCAGAGGGAGGAACACAGATTGCAGGTGTTTGAGAATCGGGTGTTGAGGATATTTGGGCCTAGGAGGGAAGACGATGGGGCGTGGAGAAAACTGCATAATGACGAACTTAAAAATCTGTACTCCTCCCCTAATATTGTCACGGTGATTAAGTCGAGAAGAATGAGATGGGCGGGGCATGTAGCGCGCATGGATGGGTGGTTAATTCGGTGATGAACCTTCGGGTTCCGTAAGCCATCTAGTTAGTTATTAATGAAGACCTTCCTTTTCATTACCGCGTCCATTTTTACTGTGAGGTCAACCCCGTGGCCTCCTGTCCTGTTGGTACCGAGAGCTTTTCCTCAAAGGGTTAAGATGAACGGAGCGTGACAAAGAACCTAACCTTTTTACATTTTGTACCGAGGTCAAAGTCGATTCACAGTCGTCGGTGACTTTTCCCTTCCGTGCCAGTGGAGTTCGAAAGGCGAGATCTGCGATTTCTGTCGAGATATACTTTAAGACGAAGGAAACTGTCAAAAATGATTTTTATAAAACAGCATTGCTTGTATTACTGCAGTGACATCGACAGCCACCACGGACAGCACTGATACGGAACTGACACGCCACGTGGAGTTACGTAAATATTGCGCGGTAAGTTTCTTGTCATCGTCAAGCGCGGTACAGCATTACACAAAACTTATCGACGGACACCAATGTTAATGTTTTTCTGTCCGTTGGTTGCAACGGGCCGTTCCCCTAGTCAGGAATAAACCTGTCATCAGAGTGAAACTGGGGTCTAACACGCTGCAGGGGTAGGAAACAAAAAATTCTCTTCATGACTTTTCCGGAGTGTGTTTGGTTATGTTAGGTTACGTTAGGTTAGGTTACGTTAGGGTAGGTTAGGTTAGGTTACGTTAGGGTAGGTTAGGTTAGGTTCGACTGCAAGACGCCGTTCGACCCCTCGATTCCCCGCCGAAACAAATGAGATTCGTGGTTGAACATCAGGGATTCTGAACGTCTTATCAAATACGTCAGGTCTTGAAAACATGATACCAATTCACAAGTTGTGGAATAAACTCGTGCTTCGGGTTTTGTGTTTTTTGTGCAGTCCTATTCAAACACGGAAACTTTGCATCAGAATGCTTGTAAACAACAAATCACAGATATATAACAGCAATTCTTGCCTCCTTCACACTTCCGGCCTCGCCAATGCAGCACAAATGATGATACAAAAGAATATACTGATAATTAAGTTTTGCTAGCTAACAAACAAAAAAGACTAGACCTCATATTATTTACAGACGTAACAATGACACATTCTCTTTCGAATATCACTAAGTACGTTCTAGTATCCACTTCAAATTGCTCTTGGTACATCCACACGGGAATATTTGAAACATGTATTTCGATAATAACTGCACAATTCAAGCGAGACGTATTGCCAACACAACACACGCGTAAAAAAAAACATACGCCAACTTCCGCCCCAGCGACTACTGTCTTAGCCTTCATTTTGCTTTCTGACCTCGGAAACGTTATAAAATTAATGTTTTCCTTGAAACTGGGCAGACATATTGGCGTGTTTACTCAACAGACATCTGGCAGTGGACGGTACATGGAACCCACTAACATACGAATGCAAGGAGATTAGGAAGAATTGTTAGACTTCGGACACCAGCTGTACACTTACGTCACTTCCGGTTGCACAGCGTGTTCGAAGATCCCAAACAATGAACTCCGAAAAAGTTGGTAACAACGTCTGTGGTCGTTGGTCCTACAATCTTCCTGAAAGATTGTGGTTAAGAAACATCTTTCGTTTTATTTACAGGTTTTCTCCTTCTTTGGCGAAGAATGTCTTAATTCCGTTGCATTCATATTTATTTCTTAGTCACGCCCGCCAAACAGAGTAAAAAATAAGATTTCTGAAGTGTCTTACGACCACAAAGCTACGCCACTTTTACGTACAACAGAAAATACCACACGCTGTAATTCAACCTGCAGCCTTTTCCTGTGTCAAGATCGTGGGATAACTCTCGAATACACAGCTGTAAACGTAATGAAATTTATAGCTCTGAACTTTACACACCCCTGTCGCAAGCCTACCTGAATCAACCACGTATTTGGTGGGAGAAATACTGCGCAGAAGCAGGTATGAACCCAAAACATGAGAAATGTCGTCTGCAGTAATTGCGTTACGCGATCTTTCCTTCTAGCAATGATTCCACTTCCTATCGGCAGTGATTCCACAAAGGCCTGACTAACCACCCCAACTCGTTCCAGTAAAGGTCAAATCCATGTCGTGTCCTGCCTGCAGTCATTTGTAGAACACAATAATTTCACTTACAACAAAATAAATTCCCCACAGTACAAACACAACTTTAATTTTTTAAAAAAATTCTGCAAATTATAAGGCTATTTAAACATCACAACTCTTCAATTTACTTTCATTTTCAATACGACAAAATGTCAGATATGTTCCTTCGAGCAGACGAACATAATTTAAAAAAAAAACACCAACTTTATCTAGTCGTATAAAACACACGTCACATAATCTTGCGAGTACTTCTGTTATATTAGAAGTAATTCCAAAGCCGCACAGATAATAATTCCATGTTTTTAACAATCACGTGCCGGAAAGCATTCTTACCAATATTACTGCACAATAATTCCATGCAACCACTACAAACAACCATGGCGACAAAACGAACACACTAAATGTTTTTGTTACATAGAACTGGTCTGGTATGTTATGGATGTGGGAGGGGGGTGTCTTGAGGTATGGGGAGGGAAGGAGTGGAATTATACAAAGTAATTTTCCCACTGTATCTAACTAACGAACGAACGAACGTACACCCTTCCAGGCAGAATAGACGCGAATAGTTCAAAAATTATAACGACAGAAATTTGTTTAAATACTAACAAAACTGAGAATAAGACACTTAAAAAATGGTGTAACCAAAGAGCTCACCCACAACATATGCCAAAAAACCTGATTTATATAGGAACATAGTTATTTTACACTTCCTAAAAATACTAACTGCATATACAATCCCATGGGTATCAGCGAATTAATATGACAATTCCTATAAAAGACTGCATCACACAACGCTTAAATATATGCAATCACTTTCGTTGAAGCATTTCTGACAAAATGTTGAACGGCAAAGTGCAAACTACGTTCGTTTGGACTTCAAAACCACTGGAACTATCCACACTAACCACGTATATGGCAACAGTACCTAATTCTTTAGTTACCTGCATATTAACACCATGAAGTCGAAGATCTAAATAATACGAAAAGACACAGCTCCTACCTCAAGAAAACACAAAACGGCTCCATTACAAAGACTAAGTGGTTAATTTTGTTTAGGGCAATAATCATATAAGAATCATAAACCCATGAATACATTCCGTGGAAAAAGTTCAAAGTTCCGAAACGTTATAACATGTGGTACATACAGTCACCACTAGTTTTTAAAGGGTTCAAATAACTGAAGTAAATATACTAATTAATGTTTTTAAATGTATAGTGGTTTCGCCAGAGGCAGCCCAGTTATGGAAATACGTATTTGTACCCTTCAGAACACGATTTTCACAGTACTTAACACAAAATTTGTAAATGTAGTTGAATTATTCGTAAGTTTATAGACATGTCAAGTGAATCTTACCTTTTCTTTCGCTCTTCCAGCATGTTTTTGTACCGATTTTGCAAGTAACGCTCCCTTACTTTCTGCCATCTTGCCCTCACTTAATATAATCAACTGGTTCAGTTTCCATTCCTTCCTTAACTCCATAACTTTCGGGTTGATTTCTGCGCGATCTCGTGAGTAATTTGGAAAACACGTTGTATGCCATGAAAGTAGACAGTACCATCTGTAGACAGTTCGAAAAACATGTTTCAACCTCGATATGTCTTCTTCTGCCATCTACATCGTTTGGCCGAAAATTCTTCTAACCCTTGCACTTTCCCACAAATTTTCCCTTTTGGATTTCTAGCGTCATATAGAACAATTTAAGGCCAGCACTAAAAGAGGATATCCTATCTCACTCCTAGTCTGTTGAAGAATTTACCTCGAATAAAATTGTTTAACTATTAACAGCGGTGATGCTTTCTAGTGTAATTATTTTTGCAATACTGCAGTATACTGTAAATCACTTTCTGTATCCTTGGCTATGGCCTATAAAGGATCTATGGAATATAAATAAATTCTGTTATTTTCATGTCTTCTAAAACCTTGGCAAACCATCTTACCCTGGTCATCCTGTTGGATGCCTTTCCTTTAAACTACAATTCAAGTGCCCTTCTCAGCAACCTTATTCTACCCATTCTTTACGTGGACCACTTCTCCGAAAATTTTATTAATGAATTTTGGATTCCAGCTTCTCCAAAATTCAATTTCTTATTCTACCCTTTCTTGTTTCCACTAAATATTTCTAAAAAATAAAGTAACATTCATTCAGAGCTTCAATTTTGCTTTTGCCTGAGTCCATAAAATTTTAGGGTTAGTTTAAGTTATAGGCCTATTTTGTAAGTTGTTATGCAAAATGTGCATGTTCCATATTTGGTGGACTATTAACCCATATAAAACATAAACAAGTGACAGAGAGTGAAGATGATTTGGTCATAATTAAAACTACTTTGAATTTTTTATACCTTTGTCATTGAGATAAAATTACAGTACTGCCTTTGAAAATATAAAGATGTATAAACTGAATAAATGTGATGAATTTAAAGTGTATTTTGAACAACAGTGATTGCATCCAAAATAAGTTAAGCAGCTCTGTTCCACTGATTTCAAAGCTAAAAAGAAGCGGCTCCAGCACAGACACTAAGACAAATATTGCTCACATGACCACAACTTACTCTTTCAGCAAAAAGATACACAATCCTCCTTTTGCCTTGACAATTTTGGTGCAGGCCACGTGCCATTGAAATAAAGGCGACGTGAAACGTATCACGCTCCATATGGGCCTGATTAAAATTGCAGATTTACATTTATAAAATTCCCATTCACAGATACGTGAACAGACATTTCTGGAAATTACAGCAAATGACTGGAAAGCAGACTGCCAAGAGTATCTTGAGAGAAAATCAATCACAGACAAAACAATGGACACACCTTATAAAGTGGCAACAGCAGCACCAAAATGAGTGTGAAATACGAGGCGCGTCCTCAAAGTAAGTTTCCCACTCGTCCCACAGCTAGCAAACCTTATATTGCGCGAAGCGACTGTGCGTACGTGATAGAGCAATGACGTAGCATGGCGCATGCACTAACGGCACCTCCCACGTTCTCACAGTAGCATCGTTGCAGCTGTTGAAGATGGAGGTTCTTATTCCAGCTCCCGCCGACTGTGAAGTGCGGTCAGTGATAACGCTAGGCCGCACACGGCTCGACGGACAGCGAGTCTCCTGCAGGAGTTCAGCTGGGAGGTGTTTGATCATTCACCCTACAGCCCGGACCTCGTTCCCAGTGATTTCCATCTTTTCCTACACCTCAAGAAATTCCTGTCCGGTCAGCGTCAGCGTTTTGAGAATGACAGAGAGGCGGAGATGGTTGTCACACAGTGGTTCCAATCCCAGGCGGGCGACTTCTACGACACAGGTATTCAAAAGTTGGTCCCCCGGTATGACCAATGTCTCAATTCCGGTGGCGAATATGTTGAAAAATAGCTGGACACTTGCTGTATCTGTTGCAATAAATATTTCCATGAAATTGTGTTTTGTTTCTGTAAACGGCCCCAGGGAAACTTACTTTGAGGACGTGCCTCGTAGATGACTACGAGTCATCCTTCCTTATATACCGACACTAAGAAAAAAGTAAATGTTTCAAGGTTTCTAGCAACATACAAGAAAATCAACAGGCTGACAGACGTAGCATAAGGTGATAAATGGGTAATGGACGCTATTAAGAATATAAGCAATTCATTTCAAACAGCAAACAAAATTTCATGATCAGAAGAATTAGGTCCTTTGATATGACGGTGTGCGAGCTGCTCTCAGGCGATTTTGGTTTGCCTACTGTAAGTTCAACATGATTATGCAGTTTCGTGATGTATTTCCCATAGCGTGTGAGTGCAGAACGAGAATTTGTGGGCCCCCAACGTCTTCCTGTGTTTCTAAGTTTCCACAGATAATCCATCAGTGGCAAAAGAGCATTCTGCTCTGTGCTCTCACCAAGGCCAAAAGCATAAGATGTACGTTCTACTGCTACAAATTTTTATCGTATCAGATACAAGCGGAGTTCAAATGATTTACGGAAGTTTTCCAGGTAGAAACTGTGAGATATACGAGCTGTTGCAGCAGTGAATTTAAAATAATATACAGCTCTGTACTAGTTTCTGCACATTTAAATAAAATGTATATTTCAGAATTTGATAATTTGTCACTTCTGGATAAGTATTATTAAAAATAACTACGATGCAAAAATTGTGACAATTCCTTCGAAAGAATGATCCCCTTAACATTTTTGTTTTGTTTCCAGGTTTTCCACCCATTCTCATTCTATTCCCGAGAAGGCCAAAGCATGTCCGCCTCAACTACGGTAATTTGCTGACAGTTGAGGCGGACGGAAGATTGAGAAGGAACTGTTTCTGAATGTTTTGCGTCTTACCCTGAAGGGCACAGACTGCGAAGAATGGAGTCCTAACAGCGTTAAGTTTTCTTATATATTTTTTGCAACAACTTAAAAATGATAATATATGTAGCAGTTCATCAAATAATATGTTTATATACATATGTACATATGTTTCATTGGTAAATAACAAAACATCATATATTGCACAGATCCAAATAAATGCTGAGAATTTTATGAGTTGAATTCCAAAGCCTTGACATCTGGTAGACTGAAGGAGTCGAAATATCACTCATCACATCCCAAACTTCCAAAATTCTGAGAACTTCCTCTTCAGTACGATCCATTAGGCATCAGTAGAGTAAAGTTTCTCCCGCTATACGCCATGTAGGCGTTTGGGGTGAGTGGAGGTATAGCTCCTCTCTTCACTGACCCCGGCACTAGATGGGGGTGTTAGGCATCGGTACTGGCGCAATGTAAGAGCAGGCCTGCAATAAAAATAACAAATTAGCAGGTAAATTCATTTGCACTAAAACTTACCTAATATTAGCTCAGCTAATACAAAATGCTTTGCTTTTATGTAACCTGGAGATCTTTTATTCTGTTCGAACGTCAGCCATTGGACCCTATCCTCTGCACATCGATTCTATCCGCCCCCACCCCCTCAACTCACGCAACCAAAAAAAGGCAGGGGATGTTAAGAGTAAGACAAGACTTGGAAATGCGAAGATGTCAGTTTTAATCAAATACCAGCTGAGGCGTGAGGACAACCACAACGTCACTACGTCTTAAGACTGTAAAAGCGTTACAGTCCTCAGCGTCCACCACTTGGCACTACATAACAGACAAATCACTTTCCCTCACCTCAATGATGTTGCCACCCTCATCGCCTGGTCGCAGGAAGGAGACCTCATTCTCTAAAACAACTTCGAAGTCAACGAGGTCCTCCCACTCTGAATCCAGGGCATGCGGCATCACCAACTTCCTTCTCGAGACGTCATCCCAGTTTATGCCCTGTAGGATGAAGCACAAACATTTAAAAGACTCTTTAGCTGTGCAGAAAGTACAAGGATCTTGAAATACAAATTTTGGTCTGTGCCTTAATTTACTTAAAAATACTGCACTTACTGGGAGAGACATTTGGCACTTAATCATGCAGTCAAGGTTCGAAGTAAGTTGTTAGCAATTCTACGGAAAGTACCGAGAGGGTCCTTCTAAAATACTAATGTGACAGCAGGACATTACGCACGGTATTACTGAAGTTGCTATGTACCCAGCGTTAGGCATGTGGCATCTGTTACACGCAAGTTGTTCTGCTCGGGATGTACGTCACAATTTTTTAAAGAATCAAATTATCTAGCAAGAGTCAAAAATCTCAAACTGTTGGGATCTTCCCATGGTAGTTCATTTTCTTAGGCACAGTTTAGAACTTAGACGCGTACATGTAGCCTATTATATGTACTCACGTCAAAAAATGGATGATTTCACACATCCCAGACTTCCACAATGCTGAGAACTGCCTCCTCAGTACGAGCCATTTCGCATCAGTACTGGCGCAATGTAAGAGCAAGCCTGCAATAAAAATAACAAAAGTCACAAATTAGCAGGTAAATTCATTTGCACTAAAACTTACCTAATACGCTGCTTATAAGATAAAGTATAGTCCGCGGCTGTCATCTTGAGACTTGCGGGGTGAGGAAGTCGGGGGAAGGAGGAAAGATTGGGTCTGCCTTTAACGCTTCGGACTTCCTGCACTCCTTGCAGGTCTCAAGATTACAATCGCGTACTGTATGTCTTATTAAGACGTGATGATTAAAATGTATCTTTGGTTTAAAACGTAGACTAGTCCCATATGCCTTCATTATGTGTAAAGTCCGTCAGCCCATTCCCAAATAAGCATAATTAATTTAAGTAGCCATGGGATCTTCCAGCACAAAGCACACACGTGAAGTGAAACTTTCTTTGATCTACTGCGTGCACAGGGAAAATGTTCGGTGCCTTCAAATTTTATGGCATTCAGTCCTGCGCAACCCGTTAAATTCTCCTGGGCTGCTCTTCTTTCAAGAGCTTTGTACGTAAATAGAGTGTCGCCACCTTGTACGTAGTGTATTAACAAACTAAGAGTCGGATGACAGTCTCACTGTGTGCAGCCGTTGTATTAACACTGCAACAGTGCTGTCTCGTCCAAAAATCAGGGTCTAGAATGAGGCATGGGATGAAGGAAACTAGAAACAACTGGTCTTGTATTGAATGAAAACAGATTTTTTCAATTAAAAGTCTATAATAATGGGACTGTGCATCAAAATTTTTTTAAGGCAATGAACATTGATTTTTTACCCTCTCAATCATCAACCGGAAATTAGGTCTTGGTCAGGTTGTGTATCAGACGCAACATTCAAATCTGAGCACGAGTTATCTTACTTCAGTTCATTGCCGATGACGTGCGAGTCATTCATCTAAATGTCCTGCTATTCCATGTTAAAATTTTCCAGTTAACTTTGCAGTGTTTGTTGTTACAGGCCTTAAATAAATTTCAAAATACTTCATTTCTGCTGTTTCTTTCTTCATTTCACTATATTCAAGTGCACAAAACGCTGAAACATTTTGGTTTATTTCGAATTAATGAATTTTGTTATTCGAATGGGTAATAATTTATGCACTTAAATTTGTTTCAAATTAGGCCTATATATAACAAACTCCATGGAACAGTCTCCTTCCTGAGAAACTAATATTAGCTCAGCTAATACAAAATGCTTTGCTTTTATGTAGCCTGGAGATCTTTTATTCTGTTCGAATGTCAGCCATTGGACCCTATCCTCTGCACATCAATTCTATCCGCCCCCACCCCCTCAACTCACGCATAAAAAAAAGGCGGGGGATGTTAAGAGTAAGACAAGACTTGGAAATGCGAAGATGTCAGTTTTAATCAAATACCAGCTGAGGCGTGAGGACAACCACAACGTCACTACGTCTTAAGACTGTAAAAGCGTTACAGTCCTCAGCGTCCAACACTTGGCACTACATAACAGACAAATCACTTTCCCTCACCTCATTGATGTTGCCACCCTCATCGCCTGGTCGCAGGAAGGAGACCTCATTCTCTAAAACAACTTCGAAGTCAACGAGGTCCTCCCACTCTGAATCCAGGGCATGCGGCATCACCAACTTCCTTCTCGAGACGTCATCCCAGTTTATGCCCTGTAGGATGAAGCACAAACATTTAAAAGACTCATTAGCTGTGCAGAAAGTACAAGGATCTTGAAATACAAATTTTGGTCTGTGCCTTAATTTACTTAAAAATACTGCACTTACTGGGAGAGACATTTGGCACTTAATCATGCAGTCAAGGTTCGAAGTAAGTTGTTAGCAATTCTACGGAAAGTACCGAGAGGGTCCTTCTAAAATACTAATGTGACAGCAGGACATTACGCACGGTATTACTGAAGTTGCTATGTACCCAGCGTTAGGCATGTGGCATCTGTTACACGCAAGTTGTTCTGCTCGGGATGTACGTCACAATTTTTTAAAGAATCAAATTATCTAGCAAGAGTCAAAAATCTCAAACTGCTGGGATCTTCCCATGGTAGTTCATTTTCTTAGGCACAGTTTAGAACTTAGATGCGTACACGTAGCCTATTATATGAACTCACGTCGAAAAATGGATGTTCCTTCATTTCATCAACTCCACCTTTCCCCCCACCTAGGCGAACTCTTGGATCCTTCTCCAACATTCGTCTCATAAAATCAGATTCGAAGTCGGAGAAGGACAGCGGGATGTCGGGGTTGCGGTATAAGATGTTGCTGTAAGAGAAAGGTTCATTCTTGTATTTGCCATAAAAAAATGTACTTCTTAAACATGCATTCACAATTAGCATTTACAATGTCTCTCAAAGTCTGATTTGCACGGAAATCTCTAACATGAGTCATGCAGTTGATAAGGAAGATGATCCACGTTAAACATTGTAAGCTTTCCGTACATTCGGTCGCTGTCCTGCACAAATTTGTTTTATTAAAGATTCTGGTTAATTCTCCAAAGTCTTCCAGCACCTACACCTACTTTACTCCCATTAAAAGGAACACACATCTGTTAACTGTGAACTAATTTGTATAGAAATCTATTCTAAGGTAAATGATGTTCACAGGGAACATATACATTAGAGCTCTTTCCAAATGCAAAATACCTACAGAAACAATGCTTCATCACTTTTGTCTTCATGACTCTGAAAGGGCGTGCGACCAATCATCATCTCGAAGGCCATCACGCCAACACTCCACCAGTCCACTTCCTGCAAGAAACAAAATTACAGGTAACGGCCACAACCAGACATTTTCATTTCACCACAATCTTATTCATTATCCCCAACGTTCTCGACAAATAGAGAATTTTTGGTGAGAGTGAAATGGTTCTTCGTTTCTTGCCTCCAGATTAATGCTCTTTCTCCTTTTATGTATTTAGCTAGCCAGAGATTCTAGTGAATTTTCTAATGGCTGTCTTCGAGTGCTCAGTCAGAACCTTGAAAAGACACTTAACGACAGTGAAGTCAGGAAAATTAACAAATGCCATTGAAACCGATTCAATTATTCTCAAAATGCTACAGAAGAGGACAGACAAAGAAATAAAAGCATTATTCCATAGTTTTGCAATGAAAGCACACGAAATATATGCCATTTCAACGCTTGTGAACCGAGAGGCAAAGGAATAGGAACTACATTAATTTGAAAAAGTTATACGAACAATAAAGTGTAATCGTAAGCAGAAGAATTTGTCGTGCCAATTTCGGAAGAAGAATGTCCTACTGAAAAGCTGCTGCGACAAGACAGAATGCCTCCACATTTTCACAAGGCACTGATAGACAACTCAAATTGCAAATCTCCAGAGAATTTTATTGGCAAGGGTGGGAACATGACTTGGCCACGTTGTGTGTTTGACCCTCCTCCCCTTACAAGGATTCTCTCGGGGGTACAGCAGGATGCTGTGTATACGCCAACAGTGGCTTCCACTTTGACAGAACTCGGAAGAATTGGCTGCAGTCACCCTCGAATTCCTTATTGCGTGGACAGAAACTGAATTTAATTATTTTATCTGCCAAGGCACTCACAGCGCCCTCATTAAACATGTGAAATGCAGGTCATGAAAAATTGATCAATCAAACCACTCATACTTCTCATACCCACGCCACGGAGCTGTGCCATAAGGGATATGAAGCCATTGCCTTCAAGCATCAAGTTTCGTGACAGCCATTACATTTTTCTTTC